CAGCACCAGCCGATCACCAGGAGAACACACGGATTGTAGATTCCGTTGTCTAGTGTGGAAGCCGCCCTCTGCCCTCTCACATGCAGCAATAGACTTCCTCCTCCAGAGATATACGGAGTGGGTCAGGTGACACATCTACAACCACAGACACGACAAGTTCTATGACAGGGAGGAGCGACGTCGGGGCTCCGGGTCCCTCTCAATCAGTGATTTGGGGCCACACCGTATACATTGTCCATCTTCCGCCACCATCATCCGGAGACAATCACCGGCCAATGAATCTCCCCGCAGAGAACTCCGCCCCCAACAGACGCAATGATGTCATGACCCTCGCTGTATCGTATTGGCTGCCATGACTGGGTGACAGCGGCCGCATCTAAATGGGGGATTTGGGATTCCTGTCTCAGGAGAACGTCGCCGGAAATCAGAAGACACAACAAGGAAATCTAATGATGATGATCGTCCTACCAGCACGCCGTCTCCGCACTTCTCCGCCATCTTCCTTTCCTACGATGGGATGAGCAGCTGCAGGGATCGTCCTCGTGTCTCCGCCTCCCGATCCTCACTTCTTGGTTTCACTTTTCTTATTTTCTGACCTGAAAGAAATAAAAAGATTCAATGTGACTGGAAACGGAATCAGTGAGAGGAGGAGAGATCCCCGACATGAGGTGTGACCGCTGATGTCCTCCACCCCGAGGGGCACTAAAGGTCCCAGCATGCCCGGCCGCCCATCAGGGAGGACACAGATTACAGCTACAGATTCTCCTTCAGTCTTCTATCTGACCTCCATCCTCCCCTTCAGTCTTCTATCTGACCTCCGTCCTCCCCTTCAGTCTTCTATCTGACCTCCGTCCTTCCCTTCAGTCTTCTATCTGACCTCCATCCTCCCCTTCAGTCTTCTATCTGACCTCCAGCTTTAATTTTTTCTGTCCTGAAGGAAGTGAGGGAGAGTCCCCTTTAGCCCGGTGTCCCCAATGGAAGATTTCCCCTCACTTCCTGTCCGCACGTGTCACCGCCTCCTGTATACTGTATATATTGATGGGATTTTAGGAATAATTGATGATATTTGTGCTTTCTGTGGATTCGGCACTTTCTATACATGAGATACATAGTAACGAGTCCGGATCCGGTGGATACATAGTAACGAGTCCGGGATCCGGTGGATACATAGTAACGAGTCCGGGATCCGGTGGATACAATTCTCGTCATTTCATATCTCATACCTGACACAACGTCACCAGACCGCGCTGCGCGTCCATCGGGAAACGTTTCATGGCGAGACTTGTATCAAAGCAAAATGTCTGGGGAATGTCAGTGAATGAACGCGGCGACCTCCGGCATCCACCCGGGGTGAATATAACACGGCGGGGGCTCAGAGGACTAATGCAGAGGAGGTTGTCCGTGCTGCACAAGGCGACCAATCAAACGGCAGCGGCCATCTTTTCTGTTTTTTACTGTTTAAAAAAAAAAAAAAAAAAAAGCTGAACTCCGCCCACAAAGTCTCTCCTGCGCGTATATTCCACAAAAGATAAAAATCCACTTTGTGAGCAGCAAATGCCTTTACAAACCCAGATATTACCTTGTGCAAGTAGCAGTGACATTATCGCTATGCTGGACAATGGACATAGTGCAGAAAGCAGAGCTGTGGAAGGGGCCTGACAAGCCCCACCCACTACAGGAGGGGGCGGAGACAAGACCAGTCACCCTGCACAAGGAGAGAGGGCGGCAGTGAGCGGTCTTTATTACAGGAGGGGGCGGAGACAAGACCAGTCACCCTGCACAAGGAGAGAGGGCGGCAGTGAGCGGTCTTTATTACAGGAGGGGGCGGAGACAAGACCAGTCACCCTGCACAAGGATAGAGCAGCAGTGAGCGGTCTTTATTACAGATCTGGAAGAAATAGACAAAACTCCTCGAGATACAAGAAGAATACGCATGAGCTGTATGGCTGTAGACATGGCCCATCCACCAGGTTCCCAGCAGACATGTCCCCAGTGTCGGGAAGGGCCACTGTGCATGGGGGTCCAATGCCGGCATCACAAACAAGCCCAGATTTTCGGGAAGATCTGACAAAGACGCCCCAGGAATTGGCACGCGTACAATGGTGGGGG